GGGGGGGGGGGGGGAAGGCAGATCGTGAATCTGGATCATGACCGACCTGTGTAGCACTCACTCTCTCTCCTGCTGTCCTCTAACTCTCCAGCCAAGTGGAACTGAGTTAAAAAATAGACAGGAGTTCAATAGAGAGGTGGATGCAGATTGACAGATGGACAGAGGGAACTGGATTTGGGGACAGGTGTGGAACGGGCATTGGCGATTTTAGTGTGTGTAGATGTCTCCACACTAGAGCCCACCAGGCTGTTTGCTGTCTTAGTCCCCCCCTAGGGTCTTTGATGTCTCTTCTCTTTCCTTTAATGATATTCCTTTCTGGACTTCCACCCCCTACGCATGCACACACACACATTTCTTCACCTCCTCTACATCTCTGATTACTGTATAGGAAACAGTTTGCTGCAGTGCTGTACACAATGTCTGCTAGCCCTCTGCATCTCGCCCGTGCTTTGATTTTACTTTCTCTCTAATCCCTCTCTTGAATGATTTATTTGAAGGGTGAAACTGGGTAAACACAATAGGGCTGACACACTCGTCTACACCCCCTGACCTCTGCCGCATCTCTCCTTCTCTGCCTTTCTCTCCCCCCCCCCTGCTTTGTCTCGATCTTCTCTTCGTTTCTCCCTTTCTCTCCGCCCTCCATCGTTCTCTTTCTTTTCTGCCTGCACCTCCAGCTCCGGTGTCAGCACTTCTCTTCCCACCACGTTCGTGCGTCGCCATGCTTTATGAATAAATCGGAGCTCGTTTGACTCCTGCGAACCCTGCAGCTCACCGTGCCACTGCTCCTCCGCACCCTCGGGACCAAAGAAGTGTTGACAGGCTTTGATTTTTAGAATATGTGTGATGCGCTCCTGTGGATTTGGGATTTAGTGCATATGAGGGGTGTCACCCCCAAAATCCTTCAAATCCACTTTGAAGGAAAAAAATCTTTATGTTTCCTAGTCAGAATAAAAGTGAAAAGATTTGTTCATGAGGCCTATATGAAAAAACGACTGCTTTTTCTGAGGGGCCAGATTTCCATGTCTGGCATTTAAATACGGATCTCCTGTGTCAGGACGCGGTTAGACAAAAACTGGATGCAGCTCTGTCCAACCAGTGGTGTAGGGTAGTCTTTTATAATAATTTAAATCTCAACATACATGATCATTACCATTAATAATCCCACTGAGTGGATAGACTGTTCCAGGATGTTAGCATCAAGCTAACCATGCAATCTCTACCAAATGACAAGAAATGTGTTTCCCAGTAACTAAAAGTTATTTTATTCATGTTCTGTGTATTTTAGCTGGCTAATTATCAACTGGGTCAGTGTGCTTTGCAGCCAACAGTTTGCTACCTATACTAGCATCAAGTGTTTAGCTAGAGCAAGATAGTAATTAAGTTAGCTTAGCAAAAAATTGCAGGGACGCAGGGAAAACAGTAAGCCTAGCTCTGTTCAAAGTTCAGTAATACACGTACCAGCAGCTCTAAAGCTCATGTATTAATCTCTTGTTTCTTGTTTGTTTAACCCATTCACAAACTGAAACGTGGAAAGGAGGCTGTTTTAGGGGGTTTCTAGTGAAGATTAAAGATGGCGCCACGGTGCTGCTCTGTTGGCGCTTTATGTACTGCCACTATTTCTTAACACACAGCGGTGTATCTGCAGCTTTGGGTCTGCTGTGACTCAGTAGAGCCGAGTCATTTAGTAATGAGAGTCACTGGTTTGATTCCGGGCTCCACCAGTCCATTCAAAGTGTCTCTAGGCAACATCCTGAGCGCCAAATTGCTCCTGATTGCTGTGCTGTGTGCGTACGGGTGAGCTAGTATCACAATGAGTGCTTTGGATAGGCAGCGCTGTATTACTCCTGATGAGCTGTTGGCACCTTGCATGGCAGCCTCTGTCACGAGTGGATGAATGCATGTGTGAATGTGACAAGTGTTATGAAATGCATTGAGTGGTCAGTAGAGCAGAAAAGAGCTGTATGAAGTCCATTTAGCATTTATTGATCCATTCTGTGCACTGTCTCCGCTGGTTGCCTGGTCACTGCTCCCGGCTCGCTTGTAAAACCACTATTTTTGCAAATGTTTCCATTTTCTTCTGTGTATGGACTAGACAAACGTGTTAGTTGGTGAGCTGTAGAGGTGCTGGTTGGTGTAGGAAGGAGCCAGACTTGCTGTGATTTTGCTAAGCTAAGCTAATTGCCTCCTGGCTCCAGCTCTATACTTACCACAAGGACATGAGATTGATCTTATTTCACTCTCGGTAAGAACCAGATAAGTTTCCCTAAATTTTGAACTTCAAAAACTTTAACCCAAAACCATTTTTTCCCCTCCTCCTTCCTCCTTAGATGCAGATACTTGACAAGTTCCCAATTGAGGGAGGGCAGAAGGACCCAAAGAAGAGGATCATCCCATTTCTCCCAGGTAATAGCCTGCTCCAGAGCTCCAGTTATCTAAACAGAGCTCCTGTATTAATAATGTATGGCTGGCACTAGCGCAGCATCAATATGAGCTGGTTACTGATGCCTGCCTGTGCTGCATGTGTGTGTGTATGCATGTATAGATGTGTGTGTTACCTTACTGCTGACAAGGCGCTGTCTGTGACTTTCAAATCTCAGCTGTGTTTACACGCCTGCATCTCTGTGTTTTTAGGACATTTTTGAAGCAGTTTGAAATTGTGTTTCTAACTGAGATTATGATTATGCATGCATTTGATTACATGGATA